GGCAAGAGTTAAGAGAAAGGGGATTTCTAATCAAAAGAGGGAATCTGTCAAACAAAAGGCCTAATAGTCCCTGAATTGCTCTTCAGCACAAAATAAACCCGAGGTCTTTAACCACTTCACATCCATGATCAACATCTGCCTTCTCACCAATCACACAGGTCAAGAGGCCTCAAACACCCTGCACCCCAACTCCATGACTCACACACTTAATCCCTCGTTCCTAACAAGGAAGTCTGGGCCCTAAAGTCTGGGCCTTCAACAATGGAAAAGATAAACTTCCCCAATGCAGTTCAAAAGCTGTCACATGTTTAATGAGCAGGACACAATACACTGAGAGGACACTAAGGAAGGAGTCCTGCCAACTCCCTGTGTGCTGGCACAGTGACCTGCTCCTCCCCACACTGCCGTGAGCAAAACAATCTTATTCAGGTTGGAGCTTTGCAGGGACTTGATCAGAGTACACATCTCTTTCTAGGGAGACACCCAAGAGGAACTAATCTTTGGAACACTGAGAGCAATACTGGCCAGTTTGCACCACCTGCGGATTTCCCAGCTAGAAACTTTACTGAAGACATCGAGATACTGAGAGGACAATAAAACTGCAGCTCCAGCACATACACAAACATGGCTTTTTGTTAGTGCCTGTAGGTAAAGCAGGTCTTACACAGCAGCAGCAAGTGCAGTCCAGCTTTTGCTTTTCCTTTGTGTTCAAACCCAAAAGAAGTAGAGCCCGGATTTGGTTAAGTTATAACCTAAAAGGCTTCCACTTCATCCCCACAAATACACTTGCACTATGTATTTTCCCCATGAAAATGAGCACCTAAACTTGGCCAACACAGGCTAACATGTCTCATGCTCATTAATGTGGAATATTTTTGATTCCCTCTTCTTTTCAAAATCTTGCTTTACCAAGCAAATGCTTCACTGTCCATTAAAAGCTTAACTAAGGAAGCCTTTACTTCTCAGGCATGCAACAACACTAAAAAACTCAGTCCGGACCCCAGCATTGCTATCGAATATAGTTACCTCCAAAAATGCAGCCATTTCAGGGCAGGATGATGAAAGCATCTCCTCAAACACCTGAAACACAACTTCAAGAGCTGCTAATCTCGGGCTCATGGCAGCAAGGGCTCCACCAGCACCATGGTCACCACCAGCCACCAGTGTGCCCGTGCTGCCATTGCCCTCAGACCCTCAGAACCCCCATCGTCCCAGACCCCCAGAGCCATTGCTGTCAGTCCCTATCACCACCACTGCCCTCATACCCCCAGTGCCCCTCACTGCCCGCAGGCCCACAGAGCCCCCATCGCCCTCAGACTCCCAGAACCACCCTCAGGCCCCCAGGCCCCCACTGCCCTCAGACCCCCAGAGCCATCACCCTTGGACCCCCAGAGCCATTGCCCACAGACTCCCCAAAGCTATCGCCCTCAGACCCCCAGAACAACCACCACAGCCCTTAGCTCTCCAGTGCCCCCATTGCCCTCAGCGCCCCGGGTGCCGCCATTGCCCGCAGCCTTCTCAGTCCCCCAGTCCTCTCAGCCTCCACCACCTCCCGCCATCGCTCAGTCCCCCTTAGTCCCCCTCAACTCTCTCAGCCTCGCCGCTCCCTCTCAGCCCTCACAGCCCCACCGGCTTCGTAGCCGCCCCGGGCCTTCTCAGCCTCACCGTCCCTTCAGCGGTGCAGGTCCCGTCGCCCCCCGGGACCCGGGCTGAGGCGCTGCTCGGACGCGGCCGGACCCGGGCGGCGGCTCCTCGTCCCGGAGGGAGGGACTCGGGCGGCGGTGGTCCCTGGGGCGGGTCTGGTCCTTTTTACTGTCAGATTTTAAACTTGCACATATAATGTTTTAATTTAAATGGTAAGTTAGTTAAAGTATTTTACTTTTTTTTTTTTTTTCAAATTTACCTTTTCAGTAGAATAACAGCGTTACTGATCAACTAATACAGCTTGAGGAGCGCAAAAATTATTTGCAAATGGAATCCGCATCAGTTAAAAAAAATCTATTAGAGAAGTAGCTGACTGAATAAACAAAATTAAATAAGAAATAATTTTGAGTTGTGTGTTGGGTCAGTCCTTAATGACAGGTTCTCCCCACGCAGAGTTCAGCTGAACTCCATTGCTTTCAGTGTTTTCAGGAATTTTTGGGAGGCTATGGACGTGAACCTATGAGCTGGGAAAACAAAGTGGATTTAAGTGTTTAAATAATGCAGACTTCTACCATCTGTAAATTTTCCCTGTAGTATATCTATGTATTAGCACAAATGTTTGTTTGCCCGAAGTCTGCTCACTGCTTTCTTTACTGCTTTCCTGAAATACTGATTACTTTGCTTCATGATAATGTGCAATTGAGATGTTACTGTACAATTTTTATACTTCATCCTTTTAGATCTAGCCATTTGATCTCTGTTTTGTTTATATATACAACTAATACATGTATTTCTTTTATTTAATTTTCTACTCGACAAGGGTTAATATAAAATTGGAATAAATTTGTATTAGCATTTTTTGAAATAAAAGGAACAACAGCTTTCATGTCATCTGTCTATTTATTTATACAAATATCCATGTTTTCGACAAGAGATTTTGTAGTAATCTTCCCTTTTTACGCTGTTTTTCAGATATAAACCCAAGCATGTATTTAGTGAAAAACACCGTTTTCCACAATGGATCCTAATGAACTCAGTGAAAGCTCAGTCCTTTGTCAGCTGCTTTAGGAACCAAAAGCATTTTCTGCTGAAATCCTAGTGACTGCTCCTTTATTTTTATTATGGCTTATGACTCTTCAACCTGAGCCCTCAGCCCCTAAGAAGCTAAGCTTTTGATTGTGGCATTGTAGTTCTGACTGAGAAATCTGAAAATTAAGAAAATAAGTAGAACAAATGAATAGGCTGAATTCAGAATCAACTCAAGCAGAGTATAAAGAAACACATTCACCATGACAAAAGGCCCTTAATTAAGGATGAATTTGTGTAGTATTTATGAGAACTGGGAATTAATGGAGGAAAGAGATTTAATCAGAAAGAGCTGATGGAGTCTCTAACAGAATTCATTCTTTCAGAAGGCTCAGTTTTGTGACAGGCTTGTCCACTCTTTTATCTTTGATTGCTACAGTTGATTGGATGTAGCATGGTGGGGATGTGGTGGACACTGGCTGGGTAGAAGGCATTGAGAAAAAAATCAAAATACATTACCATAGGTAAGATTTAAAAAAAAAAATAAGTGTGGGCGTTTGTTTGTTTGTTTGTTTCTGTGTTTTTTTAATGAAGTGACAGCAAATTTTTAGCATTTTACAGTAACAGTATCTTCCAGTCCATCAACATTTAGCTCACATTTATGCACTTCACTATATCTTGGGGATTATAGTTACCAGTTGGTCATAGATACTGCACTGAGAATTAAATTTGCGTTCTTCCTTTCAATTTCTGTAGTTATCTGTAATTATCTGTAATAATGATAAGAATATTCTCCAGGTACCTAGAGTTTTTGCTTGCCTTTTTTTTTTTCCATGCAACCTTTCTATCTCTGAATTGAACGTAAAGCATAAACTATGCAACGTGATTCTGTGTGCGGAATATGAATACAGATTCAAATGCTTGATTACTTTGCAAAGTGAATGTGGTATTAATTGAATTGGATTAGGGGAGTAGATAAATACCACAACAAAGACAATCATTATGAATCAAAATAAAAATGTGTGAAAACCAATGAGAGAGGTCATGATTAATGAAGTTCATGAACTAGAAAAAATATGATACAGTACTACTGACCCCTCTGAAATTATGAGTGTATAGCTGCAATGAGATTCCAGTAGAAAGACTATGTGGAATCTCATCTAGAGAGTCCTGCAAGCAAAGGCAAAGAAAACAACAGCAAAAGGAAAAAAAAACCCAAAAGAGTAAGGTTACTAATCTTTTTAACATGGCATGTAATGATAGGACAAAGGCCAAAAGATGCTCTCCAGTCACATTCACTGCCAATTTTAAAGATGCTGAAATAAAAACCTTAGGATTTAAACATGACAAAGTCGAAGAACTGGTTACCCTATAACAGGCTTCTCTGCTGTGAGTGTATATATAACTTGGAAATTAGTCACCTAGTACTGTTTAAGCAACTGTTTTCTAATGCAGAAAAACCCCTGCTCTCTCCCACAGCAGTTGAGAGATTAAATCTTTTTAAAAGAATGTTTAAACATTCTTGTCAGAAGGAAAATAAAAATGATTGTTCTGAGGAAAATATACATGAAAATGTTTATTCTAGACTTATCTGAAGCAGTGCGCCAGCAGCTAATGAGCCCTAATGAAAATGAAGATCATCTGGAATGAACCAATCAACACAAAACCAAATAACCAAACAAACAAACAAAGAAACCCCAGAGAACCTGAAGACACTGATATATCTAAAGCTGTTTTCAGGGTGCTGGCAGCTGTCCCTGCCTGGCTGCTGGTCTCTGGCAACCGTTCCAAGTCCTTTTCTATGTCCATGTCTCCGTGATTAGCAGGCTGGAGAGAGATGGCTCATCCTGGCGCTGGTCCTGCTTTTCAGGATACATTTTCATTCCTTATTTTAAGCTAACCCACACTCGGTTTTAATCCTTTGTCCTAATCTATCTCTCTGCCATTGAAGGGAAGGATGTTGTAGGAACTGTGTCAAAGGCCTCACAGAATTCCAGATCAGTGGCACTTGCAACCCTTCCCTTGTCTACTGGGACAAGGCCAGTCCCTCATAGAAGGCCACCAGGTGAGGTAGCCTCCTCCTGGGAGCATGTTCTTGCCACCCAGGCTCCTGTGGGGTGAGTCCTGTCTGCAGGCAGCCCCACACATCTCACAGGATGACCAGTTTTAGAAGCCCTTCCCCCACAGCAGCTGCAGCAGGACTTCCGTGTGAGGAGGTGCTGCTGGAATGGCCCTGGGAGCTCTGGGGTCCTCGGATGACTGTTGGGCCTGAGGGGCAGGGAAAGGCACCATAAGGGGGAGAAAGCAGTACTCCAAGACTTTGTCAGGGAAATAGTAATTTATTTGCTTCTGCTTGGCTAAAGAGTTTCTGGAGCCCTGCTACTGCCACCTGCGAGGCCACCTCTTGCTGGGCTAAGGAGAATCCTGAGGGCTAGGGACCCTCGTCTTTGAGGGTTGCTGGGATCCCCTGGGTGAGTAGTCCCTGCCCCGTCAAGGAGCAGAGGGGCTGTGGTTGCTGCCCTGGGCACAGGGACCTGCCCCCTCTGGCTGCTCCATCCCCTCCCGGCGCTGGTCCTGCTCTGCAGGATCAGGCACAGATCTGGGGCAGCTGGGACTCCCTTGGAGGCTGGCGCGTGATGTACCAGCTCCCTCCTCCACCTTGGAGCCTGCAGGGCTGCTGGTGGGAGTTCTGTCCTGGGAGCTGCTGGAGCCGGCACTGGCCGCAGGCCTGTTGTCCTCGTCTCTGGTGTGATGCAGCCTCTGTGCCTCCTGGCTGCACTGGCTCACGATGACACTGATGATGTCATGGATCAGTGGTGCTGTGTGCCTGCTGAGAAGGGGCTCCAGCACCTCCACCAGGACCTCAGCATGCAGCCCACAGGTGCAGAGGCCGTGCAGGATGGATCCCTCTGCAGCCTCCACCCTCCACCACTGCTCCCCGTAGAGTGCAGCCAGCCTCTGGCGCAGCCAGGACCGTGCAGGATCCAGGAGGTGCTGTCGGCAACGGAAAAGTGCTGCCCACACCTCGGGCAGGATGCCACCCACAGGCTCTGTCCCTGCATCCTCCTGTCCCTGTGGAGAAGGTGGACTGGGCACCACAGGGCGCTGGGGGCTGTTCTCAGCCAGGCAGAAGCGAGCTCTCCTTGCCTGGTGGTTGGTCTCAGTTTGCTCCTTGGGGGCTGTGATTTCAAACTGGATGTAATCCTGCTCACCCCGCTCAGAGAACCTGACAGTCTCCACTGGCCTGCTGCAGAGTGGGCACGCTGGGGTTGTCTTTGCCCACCGCAGGATGCAGCCCAGGCAGAACTGGTGGCGGCAGGGCAGAGTGGAAGCCACATCATTCCGAGTGTTGTGGCAGATGGGGCAGCTCCACTGTGTCTCCGTGGCCATGTCTGGTCCCAGCAGGTGGGGGGGAGCTGAGGACCAGGAGCTGCTCCCACTCACAGGCACTGTAGGGCTGGAGTCAGTCTGACTCAGGCTCTGGCAGCACCCAGGTATAATCAGAGAGGGACATGACATCACAATCATGTCACATCTGCCACTCACTGATGTCACAATGGGACGTCTCGCACCTGAACATGAATAGCAAGGAATGCAAGGTCACAATCCATTCCCTGGTGATGTCACAATCCACCACCCCGTGATGTATCCACCAACCAGTGGAGTCACAATGGGACATCCATCCCTGCATTCCCTTATGCCTTCACACACACATCTTCATCATAAGTTTTTTGCTCACAGGGAGCGGAAAGAAAAACAAACAAAAGGAAAGCGAAGTATAATACCAGTTGGTTTCTACTATTGAGCTTTTGATTACACTCCTCTAGTCTACAGCTTCCAATGTCTTCAACAAAATAGTTCTTGCATGCCATTCAGTTTTTTTCATATCTAACTAGCTCAGTAACCAGTTAACTATTTACCAACTTAACAGCTCCCAGAATAGAATAACAATTACGATTTCAAGTTAATCATAGTCAAAGGCTTAAAATCTTCTCAAAGCTGCAACTTTGGATTGACCATGATCCAGATATATCCAATACATATACTGGATGTATTCAGTATTGTGGCCAATAAAAGGTAAAGGGTTGTATGAAATAAAACTGGCTAAAAGATGCATTGCATCAGATATGTATCAGTAATATCTTCTGAAAGACTAATATTGCTTTGTAATAATTCTGAAGGTCCTCAGATGCCTACATTTTTCTGCCCTTAAAATGTAAAAATCTTTCTGCTCTTGAAAGCGTGAGCATTCCCCAGGCTGTTAAAAGACTTTTGGAACATATGACTTCAAATAAGAAGTGTTTGTCAAATCTTTTATAAAACTTAGAGAAAACTTATTGCAAAATTTACATTCCTGAACAGAACTAAGATAATTGTGCCTACGTTGTATTCTTCACTACTGTCAGTGGGAACTAGGTATTATATGCAGGTAAGATTCATGAGATGATACTTTAGAGGCTCTCGACTACAAAAGCCCCATGAACAGGCTTAAATGGAATCAGCCATCAGTCAGAGGATTCAAGAATTACCTTCAATATGCTGCCTTTTGAACTTCCTGATATTAGTCAGCCTTTAGGATTTAATTATGTCATTAAATTAGTACTTGCTAAAAGGACTTTTTCCTGTTATTACCTTTTTTCTTCTTTTTTTGATACTACTAGCTAATAGTGTAAACTCTCATCTTTTCAGAGGTTCACCACTCCTAGACTGCCAGAGATATAACTCAAGAGACTTCTATTTTGTGGATGAAAAGGGAAAAAGGCTATACTTCAATGATTCTTTAATAAAATAATAATTAAAAACATCCAGCTTTACAATTCCTGCTGCATTCAAAACTGCCAGTTGCAAATGCAATAAAGGTTTTAAGATTGGAATAGAAAAGCCTATTTTCTGAAGTATTTACTACTGAAAAAAATTGCTTACAAGCAACCAAAGTTATTTTCATTACATCTTACCTGAGCTGAGATGTTGGCCATTGAATTCTGGGACACACCGGCCTGCATAAGGGTTTAAAATGCTGCTGGAGGCCGGGCCAGCTGGTCTCCCCACATTGCAGGCAGCAACACAGAACAACTTAATCATTTACTAACTTATGCTAAATATATTCCATTTCAACATATGTGTCTGCACCACAGATTTAGGATTTGTTCATATGTAACACTTTTCACGGAATGTAAAGGTTGAGCATGCTACAATTAGGGAGCAATAATAGGGCTTGTTTAACAAGACACACTACAAAGTTCATATTATTTAATGTCAGTAACTTCACTTTATAAGCTAAACTAAATGTTTAAGACTTTCCATTGGGAATCAAAGTGTATCTGATGGCATTTTAGAGACTAAAAGGTTTTAATATACTACAAATATATAATACTCCTATTCTATAAAGCATGTAAACACAGTAAAATATCCTGATTACAAGGGAGTTATGTTTTTCCACTTTAATCTCTTCCTGAAGCTTTGCATAGGTACCAAGGATAATTTTTTAATTCATTTTTAGCCTTACTATAAACACAGAACTGTAGAGTCAAAGGTCAAGACTGGTACTAACAAAGAGCTTGTCTTTCCTGAAACCTTACATAATTTCTGATTGCAAGTAGGGGAGGAACGAGTAAACTAAATTTTGGGCTTGTTTGCTGAGTTCAGTGAAGTTGCCATTGACTTATGGTACCATAAGTGAGAAAAGAATCTCATCCAAGTGCTTCAATCACACTCACAGAAAAATGTTTTCTGATGCGAAGATCTGGCATGTTTATTTTCACTAGCCACTTCATTCAAATCATTATCTACATATTTTGTGTTCAGAAAGTGTAGTGGCCTTCACTTAACAGATGCATCTGAATTAATCAGATTCCAAGAGAGAACAGAAATTGAATCCTTTTCCATGGATTGTAATGTGCTAGGAGTCAGATGGAATGCAGAGCATGCCTGGAACCTATTCCGCGATGACTCCCCACGTGCACAATCTGCAGCCTTAAGCACATGCTAAGGGGGATGAAATGGAGGGTGGAGTGGAGTGGAGACACCATGGCCAGGCTCTGTTGTTATCCTTATGTGACATACCAGAGTGAAGGAAAATATGAGAATTGCTGGCTTCAGAGAATGCATATTCATCATATGCATGTATTTAAATCTTGTGTAATTGCAGAAATTGGTTTTAAAAATTTTCCTTCTTTCCCTCTTAAGAGAAATCCTCTGCACTACAAAGTACAATTGATTTACAACAAGATACTGTTGGAAATCACTGCCATGATCTTAACCAGTACCACTTATACAATGTAAATTACAGTCAATGGTTTTGACCAGAAACACAAAACACAATTCCCCCCAAGTCAAAATCGCAGGAACCAGAATGAGGTTTATTAATTTCCAGAAAAACACAGGGTTTGCATAGAAGAAACCGCTCCATTATGAAAGATAACTATTGGTAAATTAGCTTAATTCTTTCACCTGTATACATTTCTCACATTCCACAACAGTTTTAATAAATTATCCCCAGAAATTGGCTGCATCCAAGCTTGACTTGATGTTGTGCATATTTTCCCTGCGTTGTTTTGTATAAACATTTGCTTCTCCCTTTTGCAGTCGTTGCTTCAGAGCAGCCTTTTGCTGCTTGGTCAGCTGACGTTTTATCTTCTGTTTCACCAGTTCCTACAAACAAACAATTCGGCATCAGAAGCGTCTTTAGACCATTTAGCACCACGACACAACACAACAACAGCACTTTCTCAGCACCAACACGAACAAGACTGCAGAAAGGATGAGCAGAGTAGCTTCCTTGTAAAAAAATCATAAAACAAATCAGCTGACTGAAAAGGGAGATTCTTTGCTATGGACAAAGTCTGCATGGAGCGCTACATGTGTGTTAAATGCCATACCCCAAGGATTCCCAGCATCTAAAGGGGTTATCTATCCTATTGTCTTCTCATAGTCTTAGGTCTAATAAATAGCATTTTAAATCCTGCCTTACGGAGTTTTAAGTGTCTTTTCTTAGAGAGATGATAAAGGACCAGTACCTCTTGATGCAGAACACATTCCTTCCACAAAAATGTAAAAGCTGATAACCTTCTAGAACACTTCATGTCCAGCAGTAATTATTTGGTTTGTGTCTATTTTTTTTCAGCACTCTGGTTTTCCTGAAGTTTAGATTACAAAGATCTGAGTGCTTCTAATGCAAAACAACAACTCCTTGCCACAAGTGTGGCTAAGGCAGACGGGCAGTCAGGAGTGATTTACAATTCCTGCTCCAGTTTTCCTGTTGTGAGGCTCTCTCCTGTTAATATTCACAAGGTCAGGACTGTCTCCTACCTCCACAGTATAAGCATTGAAAAACAGTGACCGCCATTTACATAGAACTGCAGTAGTTTTATGAAATTTCAAGTTACTTGCACCTGTGCTTCATTCTGCTATGGATGACATGGTAACAGTCTTTGTAAAAATGATAAATGCCAGAGGACAGTTTTACAAATAGGTGCTGGCAGCTATGTGCAATTTAACATGGTCTGAGAGTAATAAGAGCATAACAACAACAGTATTTACCGGAGGAATGGTGGAGCAGCTCCCAACACTTCTCACTGATGAGATACTTTTAGTCCTTGTTCTGTGCCCAGCAACAGGAATGACACACTCCTCACTAATAAAACACATACATCAATGTGTTATTCCACTAGCAAGACAAACATCCTTTGCCTTTATGAGCACCGTGTTTGAGTCTTAACCTTCTGGGATATAACCTGAAAACTCACAAGAGTGAGTGCTACAAGTGCTACAAAACATTTCTATTTTAAATATTAACACTAGTTTTTCAAAACAGGCATTTCATGAAAGGAAGAAATTTGTAGCACAACAGTCACATGTGTATCATGCACACAAAGAGAAGCCTCAGGGCACTAAAAAGAAACATTTTAGATCCTACACAATGTTTTGATGAGTCATTTAACTGAAAAGCAAAAAACCAGATGAAGACTGTGAGCTTGATCTATGCATCCAGGTACATGGTGGGCTAGCAAACTCAGGAGTTAAATTTCACATACAAGGGGCTAGTTGGAAGGTAAGCAGGAATTTCTAAGTATGTTGGGAGAGGAATTAAAAGCTAGAACAACAAACAGTGCAACATATTTTAATATTACAGTCCAAGGCACTTGTTTTAGCTAACTTCAGCTGAGTAAGCAGCAGAACACTTTGACACAGAGTATTTGAATTATAAACTTACTCATAAAAGTTATTAAGAAGTAGTATTTTAACATAAAGAACTACTCCACTACCAATATTAATTGAAATAAAAAAGGGGGGAAAAAACCACCACAGAAAATAGGTTGGCCTATGAAGTGCAACACTTGTTTTCTCATTAGACACTATTACACAGCTAGACAATCATAAGACCAACAAGAAAGATATTCACAGCAATGTTTTCAAAATAAACTGCATTTTAGTCTTCAGTTTAAACAAGGGTAGCTGAAGAGCAGTCCTTCTTGAGCTGCTTGAAAGATTTGCTTTTACTGGGAGGAAGGGA